AAAACCGAAAGGAATCAAGTTGCACTTTGAGGAGAGAGGGCTTTTCTTTTAATCGGGCATTTGGTTAAGATAATAGGCTTGAGACCCTAATTGATTATTACTATTTTAAGGTTTTAAGATGGCTATGTATAGTGAGATGCTGAACATGAATAAGGCTTTAGAAATGGCTTCAGTGCTAGTTTGGGGGACCTGTGTAATTTCAAAACGCTGAAAAGGAATCAAAGTCTCCCAAAAAGCTGTTCTCCAAAGCTTAATACATTGTCACTCAGACTGTAGTTGAAGAGAAATAACTGGATTTGGCCTTTTTCATCTTCAAAGGAGTAACCCTTTCCCAGTTTTATTTAAGCCTGGATTTCAGGAAACCAGCTGTATCTCTGTTTAGAAAATACCTCGTATATTTATGGTGCAATCTAACTATTTTATAATAAAAATAATACTGTTGGATTACACAAGGAAGCCTGCTAATTAAATAACAATAATACCTTGAGCACCTTGAAAACATCTTCTGATATTCAATTAAGGCACAATAACCTGATGAACTTTAACCTGTAGACCATATTCAGACTTTCTACATAAAAGTAATTGCATCAGTCATGATTTTCTCAAGCTACAACACAAGCTCTTGATTGGTAGCTCAACGTCTGAGGCTCCTTTTTACAGCATTAATTGGGAAAGCAGACAATACTCTCCCTGTAAACTAGATTTTAGGACGAAGGTTAGTTGCCTTTGTACACGTTTACTCATTGAAATAGGAATGTTTGCTTAATAATTCAAAACAAATAGCATTAGACAACAAGTCCTAATCCTGATTTCTCCTCTGCCAGTGTAAATTAGGAGAAAATTAGGTGAAACTCCGTTTGATCAGTGTAGAAAGACTTGTTTAAAACTTCTTTGAGATCGGAATTAGGCTCCAGCAATTCAAGCCTTTTCTTCTGGCTTCTTTACTGAGTTCAAAAAAAAGAATATGTAAAACACGTTATGAATTTTCTCCCCAGTTAAAGCAGTCATAAAGTTATGGAAAAACATTTTTCATGCGATACTTGTTATGGTAGTGTTGCATCGTGTTTGTACACTATACCAAACATGTGACTAGGTAATGGCATATTATTTATTACTTAGTTTCCTGATCTGCTTAATTCAATTTGGTCTTATAGGTCGGGGTGGGGTGTGGGGTTTCCCCCTTGGGGCAAAACCAGTCATCCTCATGAACCAAAGTGAGGTCTGGTGTAATGAGCTAGCTCCTAGCTGGACCTAGACTTGGGTTGAAAGCAATGATTCAACAGTATATTTAAATACCTGCTTAACTTTGTCAGCCCATCTTTATTTGGCAGGGCAAATAAGCATATGCTTTAGTCAAGCATGCGATTAAAATTAAGCGTGTGCTCTAACTGCTTTGCTGAGTCAGGGTCTGCCTTGGCTAGCCAGGTGTCTTAATTTATACCCAGAATTTCAGTGAATGAGCTCTGTTAGTTGTTTTATAAAGTGAGTAAAAATTCTCTCATCCTCATTTTGAACACCTGCTTTACTACCAAAATGTGACTGCTGCACAAAGCTGTGGAGATAACCAGATCATATACAGCAATTTCAATGCCCTATCTTTGGGATATTTAGCAAAAGTATCACAGTGCATGTATTTCAGTAAAGTGCCGTATGAAAAATAAATCTTGCAAGCTTTCAAGATGTTTAATCATCTTTTCAGTAAAGGAGCTCATTAATGCTAACATCTGCATATGTAATTGCTTGCCTTTACCTATTTTTTTCTCATTCAGAAATAAGTGGAACAGCCAAATTGATATATTTTGGCATTTTGACCCCTGCTAATAGGCGCAAAATGTTTACTTCACATATTTTGTCAATCCTGCTATTTCCCAGTCATTCTTCTTTTACGTGTCTAGCTTCTTTGTCCTGTTTCTCTCATTTTCTTGTTGCACTGTTATCACAGCTCAGCAAAAACTACATTCTTAGGCCTGGATTTTGCAATCTGAACCATCCAGGCAAACGTTTAAACGTCCATGGAGTTCTACTGAACTGTGAATTCACAGACCAACCGCATATCAAATTGAGTTCAAGATACAACTCTAAGCCAAGGGCATTGCTTTTATGCGTATCAAGATATTATTAATGATTGGCGAGATGAGTCCTTGATTTCCTAATGTTTATAAGTAAATAACAAATTGGAGAATTGTGAAATTCACCTTTCATTTGTGAAATGTTTATTTTCAGTATTGAAGGATGAAAATCTAATCACTCTTGTTGCATGCTGTTGTTTAATGATTACTATTACAGGTACACGCATAAGAAATGTTCCTACAGAAGTAAGCAGACATTTTGGGTATACGCAGCAAAACAAAACTAATGAAGTTAGCAGGCCCAAGCTAACTTACTCAACTTTTCTCATGCCCTGTGGGACCCTGAGAGCTAGAATCCATTTAAAACCATTCTATGGCATTTTCATTTCTGGTTTTACTTGTGTTTGCTAGGTTAAGGTAACGCAGTTAGCCGTGCAACAGGCATGTTTTTGTTGGATGGTTACAAAGCGCTCCAGACTTTCCCTTAAAAAATCATCCAAATGTCCTACCATAGTTGTGATTTGTTTTTTAATGCCATATTTAAATTTCACCTTCACTCTTAGTGCGATAGGAACCTGCCTGGGAAATGCAGGTGGAAGTGGACACCAGAGCAGAGCCAGTATGGTGCACTGTGAAAAAACAACACGTGACAGATGTTCATAGCATTGCTGAATGCACTTCTGGAAGTTGCTCAGATACTGCCATGATGAGCACAGTGTGAGAAGTTATATAGCATAGACTGGCTTCCCTACAAAGGGCTCTGCGGAGTAGTAAGCATCCTGGCCCTGATCCAGCAAGGCACTTAAGCATATGCTTAATTTTAGGCACATGAGTGGTTTCAGTGAAGACCTAAGAGAATTATTTTTAATTCACAGATCATTTAATTCAATAGGCAGGTCTGCTGCAGCATATGAAAAGTAGATCTTCATATTAAAAATACTTGGGAAATTGTCAATGAACAAACGTTGTGTACGGCCAGCAACCATTTCTAAAAAGCAGAATGATGTAGTCATCACCTTTATTATGGCAAAATATAAAGCAGATCAGGCAAAAGCATTTACAATTATCTGAGAGCTATTTCTAAGTTGAAAATAAGGAAAAATAAAAGCTTGTAAGAACATTTTTTCATTTGAAGTAGAGAAAAATTTATTCTCTTGATGTAAATAAAAACCTTGTTTGCAGATTGAGGAATTTGTTTGTGTTGAATTTCAGCATCAATTTCAATATTTTATAGTACATTTATCTACAGCTGGAGCATGACAGATTTGTGTATATTTATATGTTTGTGTACATAATACATATGTATACACACATACACAAGGATGCCCAAAGATATACATATACACAGTTTGAAAACTCATCATTATTGCTGAAGTATAAAAACATGCCTGATGTAGAAACTTGTCTCAAGTCTGTTAGCTTAGTGACTGCGTTCATCTGGCACTGTAGGATCCTCGCAGAAACAGGGAAATTCTTCTGCGCAGGAGCAGAATTCGCTGAGGACTTGGGTGGCGATGGACAGCTGACCTCCCTCCAGGTCTCTCCCAAACCTTTCCCTGACATGTCACCCTCTGCAGTCCTGCACGTAAAATGCATTTCTTTTACTTCCAGTTCTGCAGGTAGATATGGCAATGGGAAATGTTGGGGTTTTCAAACAACCCCAAAAGAAAGACAGGAGAACAAATACGCAGCTTACATTAGTCCTGTTGCTCTGGTCATTATAGGAAGGTGCGCAGGTATTGCTGTGATGAGCGCGGGGTATGGTTGAATATACTGAATGTAGGGAAGTTGTACTGAATCTGACAAACAATTAACAACAGAGCAGATGGTGCCCCTGCAAAACATTCAATAATATATGTGTGCATGCACTGGAATCAGTGACTCTAAGTAGGACAACCTAAAAAGGTATGCCACTTATCCTGTGGACAAGGAGGACTTTACAGTTCTTTTAATAATCTCTTTATCCTGAGATTTCTCCTTTGACCCTGATTTCAAAAGCAGGAGGTCAGTCTGGCCGACTAACTGCAGACCTCTAATTGAAGTCCAGATATGTCCCGCGTGAACTGCTGTATCCCACTCCGCACACTTGCACTGGGTTGCAGCCCGAAAGCTGCTCCTTTTGTAATTGATCATAGCCGTGAAAATTAAATGAACATTTGGTGGTAGGCATGTTTTCAGAGAAGAAGGAAAATACTGTTATGTAAAGTGTAATAACATTTTGATACCAAGTGCAGAGGCATCCCTTGCACAAGGGAGGCGAATGTGGAAGCGTATGCCCTGGTTCCTAAAGACAGTCCAAAGCTTGAAGTTAATACTTTTCTTATGCAGAGCTTTATTTTTCTTTTTGAAAGCTAGTTTTAAATGTTAGGATTTTTTTTTTTTTTTTTTTTTTTTGTGGGAAAGGCATCAATTTAATTTTTTTTTTAACCAGCTGCTATTTTAAGATTTCCCTAGTGTAACCTTAGAAAATGAAGAGTACATCTTTAAATCTTGTTTTGTTTGAATGAATGGGTAGATAATCCTGATCAGATGTTTCTTTAGAGAATAATGTTTAAAACGATTATGGAACTTAGCTGTCCTGTCTGTTTCCTAGGCACAGTATTTTCATTTCAATTGTGAAGTCATTAGGGGTCATCCAAGGTAACCGTTTATTAAAATAGTCCTCTTTTGTTTCAGGTTTCCTGTTGAGATGCTTTAACATGTAAAAATCTCCCTGCTGATGTGTCATGTTAGCTTTCCTAACCTCTAGATAGAAACCACAAAGCAGCCTACATAGTGTATGACTAGTTACCCACCTACATAAACAATAATTACTGCTAAGTGGGAAATTAGATGTCACATTTTAAGTCTAAATGAAAGTAAAGTATTTGAGAATACTGTCATTAAATGCTTAAAGTTAATTGCAGTTCTTTCACTCTGTTTGTTTTGTAGGACATTTGGGCTTCCAGGACAGTTTTGTCACATCAGGTGTTTTCAGTGTGACTGAGCTAGTAAGAGTCTCACAAAGTAAGTATCGTTTTGTGGCCTGTTTATGTGGTTTCTGCAATCCCAGTTTTTTTCTTTGATGCTTATCATGCCCCTTCCCCAATTCAGAAACAGTGTCTTGAAAACTGAGTCTCTCTTCTCGCTTCTTGCCAGTGGACAGCATTTCTGTGCCACGTCTTTTAATGTGGGAAAATAAAGTAGCATAATTTAACAAAGTAAATTAAAAAAATTTAATTCTGCAAACTTGCATGTGCAAGTTGATAAGCTCATCCAGTACCCAGCTGAAAGTAGGCAGACTCTGTATCAGAGTGCAGATAAATGCCTACAAAGATCAGCTTACCCAGTGGATCCGTTGCGGGATCCAAGGACTGTATTTTAATTACATGATCTGTGCACATAAGCCTGGAAATTTTCTTCTGCTGCTTTTGCACATTGTGTTCATCCATGCCATGTGTACCTGTGTTTGTACACCCGCAAATTGATGAACTCGTTAATAATGCCAACAACTGCACCAACGTCAGCTCCGATAATCTCAGTTGTACGGAGGCATACATCTTGACTTCTCAAGGCCTGCATTTTCCATTAACTCTATGGAATTCTGTCTTCTAGAAGGATTTGTTTTTTGACCTTTAAAGAATGCTAATGCCCCCAGCATGAATGACACACTGCAGCATGATCATTACAGGCTTGTCAATACTCACTAACAACAATGAATTAAGAGTACCTGTCACCACCCTGTTCCATTGATCAAAGGTGCATTGATTGTATCTTGCTATGACATAATCCAGATAGGCCAAGGAGAGCGTATGGACAGTCTCTTGCAGAGAGACTACTGGTAAGCCAGGGCCGTAGTTACTAGTCCTTTGGGGATCTTCTCTGCAGCTGGTGTCGAGCTATGCAGTAACATACATTGTCACCAATTACCACTGCTGCAGGTGAACCACTCAACTACGTGCCCCCTTATAAACCTTAGGGTTTGTAACCAATCTCTTTAGCGCAGCCAGTGATAAAAATGGTTCTTCTCCTAGATAGCAGGAATCTTTGTTTATGCATTGGCTCTGAGCATGTAGTTTAAATCCTTCTGGGGCTGGAATCTAACTGGCACAAACCTAGCAGAGAATCTGTGGTTTTGAGTCAGAACACAAGAGTTTCTGTATGGATTTTCCTGGTTTTTTTCCTCTTTCAGAAAGACTTGCACTAGCTAGTAAATTGGCTTTATATTCAAAAATAGGATGCTACAAGAAAAGCACAGCAAGTGGGAGATACATGAATGTCAGAGTTATATGTGCTGGACAGAGAGACACAGGGAGAAAAAGTTTAAGGCAGACATTTCTCCTGAGTTTTCTTCCCTGATAACTGGTGGGAATTTTGTGAGGACAAAGTTAAGAGGACTTAGAAGTCAAGAGGAGCTGCTGAGCGCTCAGCACATTTGCAAATCAGTTCACTTACTCAAGTGCTTAAATAGGGGCTTTGACATCTAACTCACTGTACTGTGTTCACAAACTTGCTGGTACCTGCAGCATGGTGGACAAAACCAAATTATTGCCAGTCTTTGAACATCTCCATGTTATGTCACTTTCTTATTTCGGTGTGGCAGCATAAAGCATTTGAAGCCCAAAGGATTCACCCTCCCCCTCTGCAAGGCATCCCACTTCACCTCAATCTTATCTTCACTGTAGGAGCCCTACACAGCAGAACTGCCTCTGGACTATGTCAGCTGTGCTTCATGTGTGCACAAGACAGGGCTGCTAGAAAAGTGTCCCTGTTCAGGACTTCAGCCTTCACAGCCAGCCCCAGTACCAGCCTCCCTGAGAGTTTGGCATTGACCTCATGAGCGTCATGTTTCATGTCTATTAATCTTCCATTATATTTTATTGTAACTAAACTAAAACATTGTGTAGGAGGTATCCTAGCCTTCAGCACATTTTGCAAACTATGGACTGTGTCCGAGACGTTCCCTCTGCCTGCCGTTGAAATGCACCACCTCCAAGTGTAGGGCACATGCACACAGGAAGAACAGGACAGGCGTGAACTTTATCGGAAATAAGAAAAGAGGTGTTGGTGGGGAAAATAAAAAGATTCAGCTTTTATCTGTTCCAGACACAGGGGTGTGCACTCTTTTTCATGAGCTCTTTAATAATCCTGGAAGGTCAAGACCTCAGTTTTATATCCTGTCTACAAGCCAGCACCTCTACCAAAAATAGTGTCCCCAAAGCATATTGGGATATCACTTCAGAACCGACTCAGAGGGAAGAGTGCCAGCAACTGATTTAGCTACACTGCTTTTGATAGCACCCTGGATTTTCCTTGGAGATGCCCCAGACATGTACTGACCAGCCGTAACCTTGTTTACTTTGTGAGGTCTGAGAAGCCCACAGCCTGACATGCCGTGGCTACCCAGTAGGAGATGTTTAGTGTAGAGTCTAGCAACAAATTCCCAGTGAAGTCAGTATGAATTTGCATGCTAATATTCAAAGAATTATTTAACATATCAGAGCAACAAAGCAATTGCTGCATATTTGCCTAAATTGGCAGGCAAGGTCTTTTAAAGAGTGTGCTTTTCAATATAACCCTTGCTGGGTTGTTGACGTGTTCCCGTGTCTTGATTTGAGACCAGTCCATGGGTTACTTTCACGCTGGGGAGCTCACCTTATGAACAGCCATCATCCAGACTCACCAGCAGCTATTGACAGTGTGTAGCTTGGGTAATCAAAATGTCCTCAGTCCATTCTCTTGGTTTTACTTCCTAAAAAGTCATTACTCCTTCAGAAGCCACCATGGCGAGGGAAGGAACAAGCCTGCCTATCCATAGTGGGCCTTCACGGTTAGTCTCTGCTCTCTTCCTGAGTGTGCTCTGTGTCGGCTTTACAAAGAGGTCATCTTTGAGTATGCCCATTGTCGTGTTTCTTTCCATGCTTGCTTTTGATAATATGATGATAGAAATATGTCATTTCCCACAGTTTTAACTGCCTGTGGTTTGCTGCTGCTATCTGAAGTTAATCTTATGAAATACTGTGGTAGCAATTATGTGCCAGGTTTATTTAGTAAAGTTCCCAGAGCTCCACATGGCAAGGAGTCTCAAGTAATAGGCAGTTGTCTCCATCATGCAAATTTGGGGAACGAATTAATGAAGCAAAAGGTCAGCTGTTACCATTATCTATCTTACCTATCAGTGCTGATCATCGCAGTTTCTGTGAGCTATTGAACAAGTCTAGACTGTTTTGGTAACAGAAACTTGCTTTCTTCAGTCCCACAGATGCAGATTTTCTTTCAAATGCTACCCAGCTACTGAATCTTGCAGAGCCTAGTAAAACAGAGAAAGTAGCTCATAAATGTTCATCTGAAAAACAGGTAGACCCCCTCTCCACCCCACCTGATGTGGATGTTGCAGACCGTGCTGTCAGTTCTCCTACGTTATTAGCAGGCAAAGGGTGTGAGCTCCTTTCTAAGTGTTGTCTGTCACCCCAGATACTGGGGACACCCCTTCAGATAACAGAGACTGTATTCTTCCATCTCCAGAGAGGTTTGGGCTGACAACAAAAGGCTCAGAAGCAGAAGTGTTAGAGATGTAAAAGTTTTGTGAATTGCCAGCCAGCTGTTGGCGAAGCAAAACCTTCTCCCTCTCTACCCTTGTTAGGCAAATATTCCACTCACTGTGTGAAGCTATCTGCAGGGCACTGGAGAATACCCTCTGCAAAAGGTGCCGGCAGAGGGGTGGCTGTGGTGCCAAGCCACTGCCAAGTGTACAGTCCCATTCGCTTGGCAGAGGCTGGGAGGCCATGGCAGGCTGGAGCACAGAGAGAGGCAGGGGAAATGCTGTTCCCCTTTTGGCTTTGAGTCTGCACCGTGTGCTCTTGTGCAGAGAGCTGCTGGGAAGATCTCCTCCCTTGGAGGTCCTTCAAGCAGCCAGATAAACTGCACTGCCCAGGATGTGAAGAAAGATTTAGGATTTATGAACATTCGCTAGAGCCAAATCAAACACATTTGTTTTGTGCTGTGTTATTTGTCAAAATGACATCATTCTTCGTGCTGATAAACAAGGGAATTCTGACTGCACCCCGGACTGAAAATGCCACGCTTTGAGTTTTAAGATGTTAGCTGTGTGCAGTAAGGAGCTGTACGGAGCAAGTGGGGTGACTTTTAATCCTTCTAATGAGCCACTGAAGCCACAAGCACACAAGCATGCATGCAGTTGCTTACTGCTCCCGTATAAACACTGAAATCGTCTGGCTAATTATCCCTGAGACAGTTACACTAATTCCACAGGTAAGAGGTGCTTTTGTGGCCAAGTCATTTTGAAAAGCTTGGGATCTTGCAATGCCGAGGCTGCTGGATGGGGTGGGTGCCAGACTTGGTTAGTGGCTGCTTTGGCAATGGAGGCAGGGCCTGAAGCTGTCCTTGCCATGAGGTGGGTGGACAAGTGCTAGAAATGAAAGTAATTGCCGCTGCTCCAGGCACGGAGCATGACTGCGATGGAGGAAACACAGCTTCCTCCAGTGGCCAGGTACAGCCGAAACAAACTGCAGAGAAAGTCCTGCCAGCCCCAGCACGTACTAGATGCCTATGGCAAGGTGTGGGCTGCCCCGGCTCTTGTCATGGGTCTGGGCCAGGCAGGCGGCTGCAAAGGGCAGGGAGGATGCTGGTGCCTTCCTGTAGCCCAGGAGAGGAGAAAAGGCTCTCCTCCACGCAGAGCACGTGTGTGAAAGCCGGGATATAATAAAACAGCTCTCTCTAAACAGCAGCCTATATGTTTTCTGCTATACTAAGCATTACAGTAGTGAAGGTAGTTAAAGTCAGCAGCATGAAAATTAACATTTAAAAAGATACTCTATATTCCTTAGCAAAGCACTGCTATCCGAAACACACTGTTTGGGCTTAGGTATGAGAGGAAGAAAAAAAGATTATAATAAAAAATAGACTGCAGGCGTAGAATGAACAGTTGCCATGACCTTGCCTTTTGTATGCCATTACACAATTCAATGGCAGTCCACTCAAACCTTGCTCTCGATCAATATCCTATTAAAGCTGCACAAAAAGTCTCTATAAACTTAGTGGTTATCTATGTTTATAAATGGAACTCAGCATAATTAGATGGTCAATAGCAGGCTGTACTTGTAATTTTAAAATGAACATCACACATTTCATATCTGTTGTATTCGGCAAAACCTCTTTGAATCTAACGATATAGTGTGTAGGAAACAAAGGCCTTGCAAAAAAAAAAAGCCAGCTCCCCTTTCCTCTTAGCAGCAGCAGCGCAGTGTGTTTCCTTTTGTTTATGGAGTCACATCACAGGAAAAAGTTTATTAGTCAAATGTCATGTTTCTCCCATTTAACCTTAAACACATTATCACTTTGCTGCAGTGTTACACATGTAATGATCTTAGGCACATCCCAACCCCTTTGTAAAAATAAATACATAAAAATGGAAAAAAGAGAAACTAAATATTAACATGACTAAAACAGAGTGCCGTATTCCAAGACAAATGCCAGCCTGGCTGGTTTTATTTAGTGGGTTTCCTGTTCTATAATTCAATAAATTTTTCAAAATATATATGCCAATTGGGTTAAGTCAGAGGGCTTTTTGTTAATTTCTCTGTTATTTTTCTTGACATTTTGGGTGAAGATCTGAGCTAACAAGCTGGCAGCGGAGGGAGCAGGCTGGCAGCAGGGGCGATGCTGCCCCGTGTCCTCAGGAGTAGCACAGTGCTGGCACCGGGCAGAGTCACCCACCTTCCTCCTCCTCTTTTTGGACAAACTAGCTCCTCCTGCCCCTCAGAGCGAGCAAAACGTGTCCCATCTGCACAGGGATTTCTTTGTGATGCCAGCAGCTGAAATGGGAGCTGAGGCCAGCATCAGTTTATTTGCTTAGAAAGTCTGTGCACATCACCAGGCTGGGTGTTAGGGGAAGAGGGGTCCTTCCTCCTCGCTCCCTGCCGAGTTGGAGCCCTGGGTCAGATGACATCTTGATGCCTGCCCATAGGCGGAGACTGTTGTTTTGACTCCCAACTGCAATTTCTGACATCTTTTCCTGTTTGGGAGATGTTCCTGAGCTATCAGAAGGTCACTTTACTGCAGAGCATGTCTTAGGGGGGGAAATGGAGTGGTTTTAATGTTGTTGCCTGGAGTTTCTGCAGGCTGCAGCATGTAGCAGCTGCCTGTGCTGGAATGGAGCTTCCCAACCATGCTGCTGCTTCATGGGGCCAGAGCCTGTTCTTGGGGAGTAGGAGCAGGGGTATAGGGAGGTTGCATGGTGGATCGTCACATGCTACAATGAAGGGGGTTAATTTAGGCAGAGCTTTGCCACAGTTTGCACCCTTTTGATCCCTTTGCTTACTCTCTGGAGTTGCAGCCTTTGCAGGGAATCCAGCAAATAAATGCAAGGGTTCCCTTTCCATCGGCTTTCTGGGCCCATACGAGGTGGACAGTCTGCAAAGGCAGTGTGAAAAGCCATTTGGAGCAGGCTTAGATGCCTCCTGGCTGGGCTAGCTGCACTGTGCCCACTCTTGTGGTGCGTTGCACTGCAAAACACAAGGGTAACTAGAGGAGGCAGATGCCAGGCAGTGAGCTCCTTGCAGCTGAAGCCCAGCACAGGAGGCGCAAAGCGTGGCTCAGCTCCACTGAGGCTGAAGCAGAGACAGAAAGCATACATAGCTTCAACTAAATTCCAGCCAGGAAGAGGAAGCGACCTTCCACCATGCGGATGAAAAACATTAACCTCTTCCTGACAGTCTCAGGGTGGGCTCTCCACATCGTCACACTGCTGTGGTTTATGATAATAAATAGAGTAGCTGCAAGCAAAGGTACAAATACCCTGTGCTGAAAGACAGGCACCGAATATGTGCCTGTCAGGCAGGCAGGAGAAGGGGTTTCAGAACAGCTTAGTGCGGTGCGACGTTTGCCACAGCACTTCTAGGGCCAGAGACCTTGAGGTGGTTGTGGCAGGACCGTGGCTCCTGTGTAAGGACTGCCAAGGGATTCCAGGTACTCAACGCCATAGGCCAGCCAGGCATTTTAACCTCTGCAGCTTTTAGCTCAGTTGGTGTATATTAGAGGTGGGTTTTGTTCTTTAACCCTTGGGTTGCAAACAGGCTCTTCCGTGTGTCGAGGTGGTTTGGCCTGTGACAAACAAAGCATCCTTCATGTTTGCTACCCAGGAGGAAATTACTGTGTGATTAGCCCTTTCTACTTTGTGCTGAGTTTACACAGCATTAGCAATACATTGTTCCTACCCCACCCCTGGTCTGGAGATACATTTCATTTTCCTATAGGGTCAATTCAAGAGTTGGAACAGAAAACGTCCAGGATTTGGGAAGAGAGCAATAAACAGAGAAGTGAGAGAAAGAAGAGAAGCGTTATCCAGATACCAGTTTTTCTTCTGTATCTGTTTGGAATAAAACTGTTTCATAAATCTTGCAATGGCTAGGAAATTCATCGTGCCTCAGAAAGAAATGGTGCTTTAATTTAGTGCTTGCCTTTTTATGTTCCTGTTTGGAAAATAGCGTGCTTAACCTGTAAGTTAGGCTTTGGTAGGTAGAGGGTGCAGAGGAATTGATCAGCAAAGGGTTTACAGAGCACAAATCTGTTTGGCAAGGAAGTTGCTGAAAACTGTGGAGTAGATGCTGCAGAGAGTACCTTTATGATTGATTTCCATTCAAGTCAGACTGACTGCAGTGTGGTCATTTTTCTAACCCATAACTGCTCACACTGCAGCAGTCTGCTATCTGCAGGGTGTCTGAATTATAGCAGTCCATGTCCGTGTTACCTTTTACACAAATTACTTACACCGGTTTCTTTTTCCATGCAAATTCATCAGTTTTACAGCCTCTTGTAGCTGCTGTCAGGAAACTGTTGCAGAAAGCACAAATTGATAAAACGAGTTAATTTAACCATGCTTAATTTTTCTTTCTTTCTGTTAACACACCCTCTCATATACCCAGTGTGCAGGAAGCATATGATAGTTAAGGGAAGATAACAAAGGATTTAAGTGTTCTTGTCATAAATTACTTCCCAACTTAATTCTTTTTAATGATCATTCCAGATTTTCTCAAGTTTTAATGGCGTTGTGTATTTTCCGTCCCATGCTTTTAAAAGTCCGTGGCTATCCAGGCTGTTCCCTTTCTGTCTCAATGACGTTCTTAAAAGATCCTTGCCAAACAACAACTAATTGTCTTGTGGGGATGATGAGGCAGCTGCAAAGCTACATTATTCCTCTGTCAAATCTGACATTGTGAGCTCCTTAAGACTTGGGGTGAAATACTGGCCCCATTACAGTCAATGGCAGCACTCCCAGAAGCCTGCGTTTCAGCCCAGACATGTTAGCTGGGTGATAGGAGCTATCCTGTCTTCATTTCCTCACTCCTGCCCCATCGGAGTGAAAGATTTTTTCATGTTTGAAAATGGGCCAGATTCTCAGACCAAAGATTAAACTTGGCTCAGCATCCTTGTGTGGCATTGAGACTGCTTCGCCTTTGTTGCTGTGAATCGGGGCTCTCAGACAATACGTTCCAGGCCAAGCTTGTGCATTTTATTGTGCAGTACGTCCTTTTTCAGATGTCTCTGAAATGTGAGAGAAAATCATGATTTGTAATTGTCAGCTCCCAAAGTTGTATTGTCCTGTAAATAGCACTGGAACAGCAACAGTGGATATGGTACCATTTTCTGTATAGTGGCATTTCTTCGTGAAATGCATTATCTGTTGACTTTAACATTAAACTGCTCTGTTCCTTTTCTGTTCCCAGAAGAGTTCATAGGCTTGTGCTTGCAAATTCAGGGTGTGTAGGAATTCATTATGTTTTAATGTAAAACCAAGGCTCTAGGACAGGGAAATTAAAGGTATTCGTATCCCTTACAATGAAACGTAGGTGCTCGATAAGGTGATGAGAGGTAAACAGTGAAAGCAAGCTGCTGGATAAAAGTTTTTGAGAGTCATATGTCTCTAGCTCTGATTTAGCTGGAGGAGAGGCCAGAGGAAAACTCAGATGTTTGCAGGCAGAAAACAACTCCGGTTTCTCATCTGCTTTTGAGCTTTCTCCAAGGAGCATTTGTAACTTCTGTGCTTGTGGATGTACATCACGTATATACCAAAGGTCCTGAGGTGTGTATTTCCCTGCCTATACTGCTTATAGATTATGCCAAGCACACTGCAGGGATGATGCAGCCTATTTGTAACTATGCCAATAGATGCAATGTTGTCCTAAAAGCAAAAGCAACAAGTTTCATTAGATGTTAGAATGATATTAATAGAAAAGCATTGCTTAAAGAAAGTCTTGCCATAAGTGTTTACTTTTTAAAAAAAAAAAAAGAATACCTTTGGAGGAATGTAAGAAAGAGTCTATATCATGGGACATTATATTCTTGATAAAATTTACATCTTCTTGATTGCAATGCCAGTTACCATTAGCATTTCCTAATTTCCATGTCCCACCTGTTCTCATCGTGAAACTAAACACACTCATGAGGAACAAGAGAGTGATTTTGAAGTGCAATTCATGCCTTATTCACATGACTTACTGACTGCAATCTCTTTTGTTTCCCCAGCACCGATAGCTGCAGGAACAGGCCCTAATTTCTCCCTCTCAGATTTGGAAAGTTCTTCATATTACAGCATGAGCCCAGGAGCAATGAGGAGGTCTTTACCTAGCACATCCTCTACCAGGTAATTTAATCTCTGCCTACTACCAGGTTACTTGGAAACCCAGGCCAGCATCATTACTCATCTGCGAAAGTAACCATTAAATTCTTTGACAGGCTGTTTGGGGGCCTCAAGATGTGGAGCTGTTTCAGATTCTCAGAGCTGAATGTTCAGCTGGATTGCTGTTAAACTTCTTTTCATATGTACAAGCTTCAAAGAAAAACTGCTGCATTGACTTGTATAACTTCTGGCTTGTACTTCAGTGTATCAGGAGAAAGTTCCACTGGAACTGTTGGAGTTTCACTTGTGGCAGAAGAGAATTTGGAGCATAGTGAGATGTGCCACTTTGTCCTAGCAGGAAAGTCTTAAGATAGACTTACACACGCTCTTTATTGTAAAAACTTTTATCTGTGAGACTAACACCATTTTAGGACCTTGGCCTATAATGCATTCTAGTTTTCATATAGCATTTAGAAATTTGTGATTCAGCCTTTGGAAAACTGAATTGTTAATGCAGATGACTAACCAGTCTGGGTTTGATTTTGGCTTAGATTCCGACTATCAAATAAGGATATTTTTTATTTTTTACCTTTCACACTTTAACCGTCCATAGGATTAGATTTACAAACAAGCCTAGTCACTCTAGTAGTCTTGAACGCTATTAAGGAACCAGATTGATTTTTTTTTCCCCCACAGCCAAAATAGATGACTTATTTCAAAGACATGACAAGAAAGTCTAACTTCAGCCCAGGGTTCTTTAACGTTTTTATCTCAGTCTGCAGTGCCACCAGCTCTGCAGTAAGCAAGTACACATGTAAAAAGTCTCTATAGTTTGAATATAGCTGTTGTTTTCATTTAAATAAAAATCTTTAAAGAGAGTCTTTTAGCAATAACTTCTTACAGTTTGTGGTGATTGGAAGAACATTCTACATCTTGCACTTAGTGTGCACATTATGAGGCTCAGTGACTACAACTCCCATTACACATCAATTAAAAACTTTGTGCGCTTTCTTTTTTGTGTGTAAACTGCATACCCTACAGTGCTCATCATTAGCACCATTCCCAGGTAGAATTTACTTGTGACTCCAGAAGCAAAAAAGTGAGGTTATTAATGTTACTTAAGAGCTCAGTTGTTGCTCTTCTATTCTTCTGCAAATAGCTACCACTGATAAGGAGCTAATTATAAACAGCATGGGTAGTTAATAACTTCGTAATATGTTTGTTTTCCTCTCATTAGGCTGTTCCCAGTCAGAAAAAAAAAATATTCCTTAAATACACAGACTCAGCAGAATTATCAGGCAGTAATTATATTGTATGCACACAATTTCCCCTATTGACACATAACAATTCTCTAAATTAAGGAATGGCCAAACCTGCATTCCATGCATACCGCAAGAATTATTCTTCCTGTTTCTCACAAACTGATTTTGCATACCCGCCAGCTCCTACCTGTGAAGAGCTTCGGGTGGGGAGCTGCAGAGAGGCTGCAAGTTTTAAACCAATAGAAATTGCAGTGGAATATTTTATGTCTGTTAAATATGTTCCCCCTACACAGAGGAGCCTGTTCTTGAATGCCTTAAGTCTTAATAGAATACAGATTTGGTGAAAAAAGTGAACTGGCCCAGCCTTGGAAAAGTACTCAGAAGAGAAATTCTCGGTAACGTCCCCACGCAGTCTGTACAACTCATTATAGAAAATAAAGCCAAGCTGAGTGTCTTTGGCTCTGGGATCCTCTCCCTGCAGAACTACCGGAGTCTTAGTGGCCACCAGAGACCACTGAAAGGGCTCTTCTGTCTCCTGAGTCTTTGGTGAGGGAGGTGTGATAAATCACAAGGGAATTCTTTAGTACTGACACTGGCCAGAGATACCTGCTGGGGGCTTTTTATGCTTGGTGGCATACAGCTGCAGAGTAAAATGTTTATACTGGTAGGATAACATGGGCATTTGAACCAAGAATGGATTCTTCCATCATTCACTTGTCTACGCTTCTTCTTATGGGACTGAAGCCTGGGTTAATTTAATGGCTATGGTTAAAAGATTGAAAATACAAGTTTGAACCGATAAACAATTGGTCTTTCAGAATAAGCTGTGGTAAAATCTGACAGTTAAAATAAGTCTTGTGTGTCATTACCATATTCATTCAAATTGCAAAAAACATGCAATACAAATTATATTCTTGCCTTTTTATTGAATTCTGTGTGCTTTGATAAATGTCCTACTTTTTGATCTGTAAAAACCTAAACGTTATACTCTCATCTGGTTAAACTAACGCATGCTTAGGGGTTCAATCCAGACTCTGTGAGAGGTTGTTTTGTATCTCACTGAAGCTTAGTCATTGGCAACAAAGCAAATCAGAAACAAAAAGTGGATGCTTAGAGGTTGGGCAGGCAGGATGGCTGTGCAGGACTCATACCTTCCCCTTCTCAGGGCCCTAAATCTAACCAAATTAGTCCCAGGCAGGGCTGGCAAGATATGTCCCAACAGAAGTGCCTTTGTTCCTTTCCATACATACAGTATTTATTATGTGTTTTTACTTTCTCAGCTCTACAAAACGTCTCAAGTCTGTGGAGGATGAGATGGACAGTCCTGGTGAGGAGCCGTTTTATGGAGCCAGCCAGTCAAGTGGATGGCATGAAGTGGAGCCAGGTAAGCCACGGCTTTCAGGAGCCCAAGAACATGATCTCCAGTTGCTCTGTTTTGTTATCAGAATACACTGAATGCTGTATAGAAAGGTGATCAGTTCTAAACATCTTGTAACTTCTTCTGAGAAAAGGTCAGTCTAATGAAAATATTGTAGTGGTTTTATTGCTTCTGCAGCTGTGAATGTTTCTGTAGTGTGTCACTTCTGTATTTTGGCCAAATATCTGAAGTATTTAAATAATGCAGCAAAAGATAGGCGGTCTTTTTCTGTCAAAACATCCAGATTCAATTCTGGGATAGTGGTGATGATTATTTCACAAAAAGCAGTACCTGTCTGGGCTGTGCCCTACAGTTATAGCGTTTAAATAAATATCCCTAAACTTATAGGAGATAGAAGGACTTTTCAAGCATTATACAACACTTGAGCTCACTTAGTAATGACTTTTAAGAGACTTACAGAAGGAGTTGTTTCATTAATCTGTAATACCATGAAGTGTGGTTGGAGGCTTCAGGTCAAAATAGATAGCACTGCGCGTTACACTTCATAAGGTCTAGGAAGCAGCTTCTCAGTTAATTGATCTTTCTTGCTGATCATCTTTTGGGTTACGTTATGTTATGTTACATACTTAACAGTCCATTGATCGCTTATCCTGAGATCATCTGGGTGCTTAATACTATTGGAAATATTTTTCTGGGTCAGTGCTACATGCATAGGTGAAGTTAATGCTTCAGTTTTGCTTACAGCTAAATAATCAGTTATTTATTGCCAATAAAAATAACAGAAGTCTTATTTGTTAGATGAAGGCAAGCAGTGCTTTCATCTTCAGCCTCCCTGAAGGGGAGAGAGTTTGAGAAGGCCCTCTAAACAGCCCAAAGGATCATTTGCAATATATATTTTTTTCTTTCTTGTTTGTTTGGATTTAAAATAGTATGGTTTTGGTTTGTTTTGAAACAACACATGCTTGTCCAGGGCCCTGTGTATAATGAACTATACAGCACAGAAAAGTAAATTCGACCTGAACAGCATTAAAATCAGTTCTGTGGGCACTTGGCCAGCCACCTATATTCTTCATCATGTAGGAAACATACCCACAGCTTTCTCTGGAGACCCTGTCAAACAGCTGTCCTTTACAGCATGCCCAGAAAGTCACCAAATTTGGGCTATTCCAGACTGGGAGGGGACTGATTCCTGCGCCTGGGAGCCCTTGGAGGATCCCCTGCCAGCTGCCCTCTCTCCTCTAATGAGGAGGAGCCAGCTTGTGGGCCCTTATTGACTGCAGATGTGGCACTTTGGCAGGAGGAGAGGGTGGACCTGCAGGCAGACAAGTGCCAGGCTCCCCGTGACTGCCTTGCCACCGCCATCCCCAGGGCTCTGGTGTTTTCAGTGAGGTGTCCTGCTCAGTAGGCACTAGGGGCTGTTTCCTCCATCAGCTCCAGGCTCCAGATGATGTAAGGCACAGCTTCACCTTGTACTAAAGTAGTCTGCCCATGGAGCGGCAAAAACGCGAACAAAAGCTCAGCGCCCATTGAAAGGGAGAGATCACAACCTCCTCTACAGACACAGATGGCTAAAAGCTGATGGGGTCACTGCTTCTACATCATTGTCAGACTGGAGGCTAACTCCCCCCAAAGTTTGGGGTACTCTTTGTTAATGACAAATGTTCTCCATTTGTGCAACAGCCAGAGGTTGGCTATTAATTTTGCTGTCACTTCTGGTGGTTTTCTCCACATGTGGTCCAAGTCCTGGCTAGATGGTGGCACTGAGCTGCTGAGCTGGACAAGAGAAGTACCGAAAGCCTCACACCTCCAAAGCACCTCCGTCACTCTTGGCACCACTGGGTGTCCATCATGAAGAAGCACAACTGCCCACATCAAACTTCCTGAGGTACTTAGAGAGGCAAGAACAAGTCAGAGAAGAGAAGGTTCTTCCTTCCTCATGACCTTCCTCACTTACTGCAGAAGAATCCCAGATTCTGCTTAGTCTTGCCTGTAAAATGGCAGAAAATCACCTTGCAACATCAGGGACTCAAGCCAGGTACCAACTAGATATAGCTTAGATTCACCAAGCTATCTATCACTGTCACAGCTGTGAAGAAAAAGAGCTTTATCCTGCCTGCGTGGGATGCACTTTCAACCATCTTTATGCTATACCCACACAGTCCCACCCCAATACTTCTGCCGTGGCTTGCCAGCAGCCTTTCTTCTGAATTCATGGCCTCAGCTCCTCTGTAAAACAGGGTCACTGCAAGAGCATGGCTGGCAGAGGGATTACCTAAAGAGCCACAGCTCGTCAGAGGTGAAGGAAAAAACAGTACTGAAGTGTCTTTTCATGCCAGGATGACACTGGCACAAGGTGCTTCCCACTGAGCAACACATCCTGCTGTGGTGCTGTGCACAGTGCCCTGCCTTACCTCAGAAAGCACACATGGGTCTGATATTAACACGTGGCCCTTTATATTTGGCATGGGTGCTTTATCTTCAGAGGTGTAAAATGGTTTATGAGTCTTCCATGGGGCATCTGCCTAGAAAATATATTGGTCATCTGAAAGCCGTACAAATGATGTTAACATCCCATATTACCCAGTGACTTGCCACAGCATTCCTCTCTGAGAGGGGGGCTTTGAAGCCTGGACCTGTTTTCAGATCCATCCTTTCCGATGCCTATGCTGTCCAGAAAAAGGCTTTGCCGTTTATTTAATCTACAGTCAAAATGATGGCACAGTTTTGACATACAATAATCTGCGAGCTTCAGTGTTTTGGTTTTTTCTCAGTGAAATACACAATAGCAGTTTAAAGACTAAGACCGCCTTTTTGTTTGACTTGGCATTTCTTCCATGTGGTTCATTTTATGCTGCATGGATAATGCAGGTATCAACGGTGCAGAATGATGCTGGTTCTCAAGGCAGGCTGAAGTTTTATCCTGTGCTGGCAGAGTAGCATAAGCCAGGTTTCCAAACTCCGTAATTAAACCCTGTCCTTTGGATTACCAGCCAAACAATGGGAGGAGGAAATCAGACCAAGGAAAGGAAGCTTAGACCTGTCTGTGGGACGGCTGTTCTGGCTGGGAAGGAAAGTTCAGAGAGGAGCCAGCAGCCAACCTCCCAGCCCAGTAGGATCCACACCAAAGATAATAATATATCCTTTGGCTTTATTGCCTTTGAGTAGATTGCTTCCTCACAGGAGATTTAGATTTATGCAGAGATAACTTCTTGGCCTATATGCCTTGACAGGTTTATGGGAGCGAAAGGATGAATATTCTGTGTGTGTTGCATTTGCTTAATTCTGAGGTGTGCACATGAGAAAAAGTGGGGACTCTAACGCAGGAGCAGATGTGAAGCGCCCGTATGTTTATGCACATGTAGAGACGGAGGGAAGTGCTCATGGCACAGAGATGATGAGAGGGTTATAGCAAAGGATGTTGTCTGGGACAGTGCAGGGAAATTAGGTTTGCGTGAGAGGGTGGTTGAAGAAATGTCGCACTTGAAAGCAAGCATAATGTAGAAGAGAAAGGGAAAATGAGAAGACAATTTTAGATCACACAGAAGGGAAAAAGTATATGGGGAAAGAAAAAAAGGAACAAATGCCAGGAAAACAAAGATTTGACTTCCTAGAAAGGAAATATGAAATGGAATATGTGAACTCCTCTTGGAGAAAGAGAGCACTCCAGGCAGAGAGTTATTTACCGCCAGCCGTGACTAGTTGCTCTACATCTGTCTCCATTTTTTTCTCTTGAACAAATTCCCTTTTTGGATACTTTCTTCCTGCTTTGCTTCCCCGTGATTGCCCCTGTAAGTGGTCTTTGGAGGGCAGGCTGTATACTCAGAACATATGTGCAAACTGGCAGGAGAACAGAAGAGGACAAAACCACTCTGTGTGCTATTTAGATTAGGCAGTGGATGCTTCCCCTGTGCCTACTCTTGGGGTCTCCGCTGTGTGCAGAATACAGGCTGCACCTATTGTCCATCCACAGTCCTTCCTCTGCACTTTTACATCACGGGCCCCTGGGGCTCAGAGCACCCTGATATCTGTCTCACGTGGAGACTTTGCTGGGTGTAGTTCCTACATGCTTCATCCACCAGCAACATGACCTTTCCATTCGTGGCATTTTGGACCCATAGTAATGAGCAGAGGGCTCAGCCTTGTGTTTTTTCCATCTAGATACTTCTTGCAAGCAAGGATGTAGCACTCTCCTTATACGTCAGACGTGACAGCCAAAGCAAACCCCAACATTAATTCCATGTTCCTTGTACTGTACTCCTTGAGTCTCACATCCATTTACCTGCACTCGAAAGCTCCTGGGGAGCTCTCAGGCCTAAAAAGGCTGGAGTCTGCCAGAAAAGATGAATTTCCTTTCACAACAGGAAGGCTTAGAAAGTAAAACAAAGCAGACATGTAGTAAATTACTTCTGCTTTTCAAATACCTTTTGCAGTATCCTCCTTACCATTACTTTATCTCAGCACTTTCGGTACATAACTCTTGTTAACTGAGAAGAAGGGCAAGAGAGGATAAAGATGATGTTAGTAAGAAAATAAGGCAACATCACACTGGCTTTGAACTCATGTACAAAGCTGGCCCGTGTTCAGTTCTGTGGCAGCTCTGCTTGTAATGGGGGTAAGCCATAATTACAGGTGTAAGTTTTTTAATTCCATAATAAGAGAAGCTTGAGTTAATGTATATCAGTATTCCACTTATGCATTTTTAAATGCATTCTCTTGATTCAGTCCAGGAGGAATGTTTACCTTGTGCTCTGTCAGTCATTTTGTAGTGTAGCATATGGGTGGTATTTGCCAATTCTACTCCCATTGTATTTCTACACTCTGGTATTGAAAAAATGTTTAAGATGCAAATTCAGAGTACCCTATTAGTTTCTTTACTTAGATCTTCCTGGTACTTGTATTTCCACAAGTTAGTTTGGTCCCTAGAGGACAGTAATGCCAGGAAAGGTACATGTTTGTACTCCCTGCACTTCTTGAGATATCTGAAGGGGCAATTAGCTCTGCTTCAG